TCTTGCTACCTTTAGGGTAAATTTTAACTCCTCGAAATGGCATTTAGGAGCCTTCGTGACCTGCTTACCTCTCTAATCTCATTTATCCCAATATCCTTCCTTCATTCTTCAGTTCAGCCCTCACTATCTCCCAAATACTCCAAGTTTTCTCACATCTCCATAGTCTGAGTAAAGCTATTTCCTGTCATAAATGTCCCAGCTCCATGTGATCTTCAAGGTGCAGCTCAAGGGTCACCTCCCCGCTTACTTCCAACCCTCAAGACTACATTAAGTGTACTTTAAGAAGATGCTCAAATTAGCACCATGAATTACATAGTGCACTGAATGGCTTCTCTTCCAATGAACTATGCTACTTAAGGGCAGGAGCTGTATTTTCCTCAGATCTATATCCTCAGAGCCTAACCAGTAGTGTTATTGGATGAATTTGTTTTCTATCTTTCATTAACCAAAGACATACATAACCACTGATAAAACAGAAAACGTTATCACAATAATAGAAAAAATCCTAGTAATGACTTTTACTATTCTATTTTCCTTATACTTGAAAGAAATCTGAAAATTGTGATTACTCTCTCTCACATTCTACTAAGGGTTTGAAATGGTTATAGCAGCAACAATTCCCTCCTAGGCAGTAAGGCCCATGAAAGCAAGGCCAGGTTTAACTCATCACCTTTGAATCTACTGCGCCTGGCTGATAAATAGGAGATTCCTAGTGAGTGTTTATTAAACAAAGTTCAAACTCAGCGATAGAAATATAAATAGCAAGTCCTTCTCTAAGAAACTCATTCTTTCTTCTTTTCTCCCAATCTATATTTTTATACACCATTACCCACCTTGTTGATTATACTCCCAGCCAAATTTTCTTGAGTCACTTAATGCCTGCCCCAAAAGGGCAGCTTGATGCATCAATTTCTTAGGAACACAGCCTACATTTACACAAGTACCACCAAGACCTGAGAAAGAAAATAAGTTTTAATGTTTCGTGTGTGCGTGCACATGTGCACGCAGTTTTACACAAGTGCAGAGTGAATGTTATTAAAACGTGGAAATGACAAACTCTAATGGTTGTGAGGTCAACATCACATTTCACAGTAACACACAAATGATTAACATAAACTACTTAACCAGGGGTCTGTGAAGGAAGCCCAAGGATGAGCAAAAATATGGATATGCATTTGAACAGTTTTCTAGAGACAGAGTCCAAAATTTTCATTTGAGTCTGACCTACAAAGGGATCAGAATCGTCTAAGATTAATTAGATATATATTACACCAAGGGCCAGAACCCCAGCTTCTAGCCTTTACTCTTTGTAACTCTGACTCTTCTGAGCCAACAGTAGGTCTACTGCAAGGTAATTAGCTTTACTATATCAAATTCCTGGCCAAAATTTTTTGAGTAAGTTTCAATTTTTTTAAACGATTTTCATATTTTGCCAGGGTTGTGTAAGGAAAAGATGACACCCTCGAGCTGGGTAACTAAAGAGAGTTTATAGGGAAATGTTACTGGGGTATGGGCAGGAAGAGCATGGAGAGATAGAATAGTAGTAACAACCAGTAACGGTGGGCCCATCGCCAACCCACATGAAGGGCCATGCACCACTGAGTAGGTGCCACAGCCCAAGGGGGCTGCTATGGCAGGGGCTGTGTGTGGCCTGCCACAGGGGTATGAAGCCAGCCTGTGGCAACCAGCAGGGAGAGAGTCTGGAGAATGAAGAAGCCAACTCCATTC